TCTGATGCTGGATCTGTGACAGCAGAGCTATATAAACCACTAGAGAGTCAACACTGGCCTGAATGGGAACCTGGGTAGTGTTTTCTGGGTAATGAAGGTGAAATTTGTGTTTCAGAGCTCTGTGTCATTCAGAAATTGAGACTGGCCTTGCACACATACACTCGTGTCATTCTCAGGAACATGTGAAGAAGCACATTTGCTGGTATGGATTTCTTACCATGTTTAGCCATAAGAATGGCAGCATTTGATCATGTGGCTTATATTGGCACAAGAAAACTCACTATAATTTCCTCTTTTTGCATAAGTAGTAAGATGAGGTGAATTAACAACTTCAGATTAGGAAAAAGAGTAAAGCCAAGCATCTCATTCCAGCTTGTTCCGAGATTCCTGAATTAGTTGTAAGTTACAATCCAAACTGGTTTACAGCAGAGCTGTTTTTCATCCTTCCCATCATTCATAGGCCAGTCATTCTTGGTGCAGTGGCTGTCACTGAACAAGCTATAAACCAGTGGTGTTGACTGAGAAAACTTACTTCATTTGCACTGGAGTCTTCCTCTCGGTTTTCTTATTGACCAAGGATCCTTCCTCCAAGTAGCCATTGCTCTCACTGGAGCATGATGTACTCCCACAGTTTGGTGAGCTTTCCTGGGTGTTTTTGTATGTGCAGGCCAAATGCTTTCAGCCACTGGAATCGTACAGTAAAATTTGAGATGATATATGGTTGTTTTCACCGTTAGTAACTCTGTTAGGTAAAAGTCCAAACATTTTGGGGGATTATCAAAATGACTGTGTGGGGAGAAAACAGCTGGGAAATTGCATTTATGCTCAAATGCCTCATCCATTTAACTTCATATACAATTTTAGAAGTACCTAAATAAAGCAAAAGCCCAAATTCTTAAGGGAATTGATGTTCCCAGCTCATTCATTTCAATGGGATTTTGTTACTTGACTTCCTTAGCCAAGGCTGACATCCCTAAATCTGATTTCTTATTTGATGTGTGCTTTTAAGGGCCTACATCCCATTAATTTTCAGTAATAATCAGCCACAGAAGTCCTGGAGTCACTACTGAAAAGCAGATTTAGGACTCTTCACGAGTGGGCTGATCTTCCTTGGCTCCCTCTGTAGTCCAAGGGAGATGGGCTTCTGTTGTGGGATGAGCAGGATTGTGCTAGTGCTCTGAGACAGATCTTATAGGAGCCCATTGGGTAGGGAATTGGAGAAGACTGGTCTCCCAGTCTAAAGGGAGCCCTTGTAAGCACTTTCTGAGGGCTCCTGGTGCCTCCTGGCATGAAAGAACAACTTGCTGCACGGTGGCTGCCAGACAGTGTTAAAAACCCTTTCCATAATTAAAGTGAGAATGGTTGAAATGTCCAGCTTTCACATGCTGTGTTAAAGGAGGATCTTCCTAGAAGATAGGTTTTTCTCCGAGTTCCAGATAGGGTTTCCTCTGGGAGATCTACTGTCTTTGAAGCTGCCCTGGTGTCTTAAACGTATCCCCTGCCTCAGATCATACTGAAGAGTAGAATTCAGGCACCAGCACCAAGTGAACTGGAATGGCTACTCACCTCCCCAGCTGGGTCGCCTTTCCAGCAGCAATCCTGGTGGGCCCTGGAGAATTTGGTTCCCTGGGCCTGGGTTCCTTGTCCTGGTCAGGGTAACCCCATTTGACTGACTCTCTCCATGGTAAGCAGAGTGTTTACTGGCTTGTATCTGTCTCAGCTTTGACACTCTAACAAAAGGTTAGAAATCATGAATGCATCCCTTTATTTCTGCTCCACAGTGCCTCTCTTTTCTTCTGTGTAAACCCTTCACTTGCCTCTTGCCCAGCCTTTAGAAACGATGATCAAATGCGAACTTTCAGGGTTTATTTATAGCCGTAGCCTTTATGGAAAGAGAGAAAAGAAATGATTAAAAAGCAATTTTACAAAATATTTTGTTTTAAGAGAGAATTCATTGTGTTTAAGTCACTGTATTCATTGTACAGTCTAGACTGGCAAACAAAAAAGATGATAGAGCGTCATTCAAATTAAGATTGTGAAATTCTTGGGGACTGGAATTATGGATTTGGATGTCAACCCTCAAACAAACTATTTCTGAACAGCAGTATTATCACTTTGCTATATTTAAGGCTTTGTTGGAGAGAGAACAGCGCACAAGGTTGATCTGATTCAGTTCTGCGATTCTAATGTTCCTTTGTTTCCTATTTCATTATAAATTCATATTTTCAATGTTCTGTTCCTCTTTGTCCGCAGAAAATTGTTGAAAAGACTCTCCTCCGGGAGTAAAGTTTTTGTTCAAACTAACAATGACCAAACTGACTTTAAACAACACAAAAACAGAGAGCTGAAAGGCAAATTAAGAGAGGGAATTCATTTAGGGCATTTGGAGCAACCTAGAATGAGTGAGTTGTTGAAAATTGCTGGCTGGGTATTTTCTTCACATGTTATTTTGCATTGCCGTGGTGGTTGCTGTGAGACCTTAATGCTCTGGATCTGGATCCTCAAAGTATGTATTTTCAAGTGGATTTAAAGATACAAGCAAGTTTTTTGCTGATAAACTGGAAAGATTGCTTTGGCGTCTGCTTCCTTAGCAAAAGGTGGATAGATGGGTAGGCCAGCAGAAGATTAGCAGCAGCCAGGCCTGGTTTCCTAGTCTGGATGAGGCCTTGAGGGAGCAGTTTTCCTTTAGGGACCTCTCTACCTTTCCTGCTCCTGGTCCCATGGGAGCAGTATTAGCTGCCCAGCAGGGAAATAGGATCTCTGTGCCAGAGGTTTCGGGTTTGGGGAGATCTCACAGGGAGCATAGGAGGCTTTCATCAACCTTGTGGAGACCTGGCTTCACCCTTTGAACACCACTGCTGCAAAGCACTAGGTCTGAAAGCCTATGGTGTGTCACATGTGCCGTGTGCGGTGTTGGGCACCAGCAAGGTGGTTGGAGAGGTGGAGAGCAAGGGGATGTGCAGGAAGGAGCCTGAGCCAGGGTTGGGGCTCGGGATGGCAGAACTGAGCCAGGCTGCCCTCACACCTTCCACATCTGGTGGCCTCGGCACTGGGGTGTGTTCTCTCTCAAACCAGCCTGAGGAGACCTGGAGTTAGATGAGTAACAGGATAAAAATAAAACCCGTCCGAAGATAGGTTTATCTCAAAAGGCTGGCTGATCTCCCAAAGAGGCAGTAATGTGTTTTTCAGCACTGGAAGTGGTGAGAGGCCCCACAGTAAAGCAGAACATGAGTGTGTAGAGCACTTGCGGCAGAAGCAGAACATGTCCTGAGAATGGTGCTGTTTGTATCCTGTCCTCTTAGTGATGCCCAAACAGAGCAGCAGCAGCCAGTCCTGCATGTGCATGGAGGAGTGAGTGGCAAAGTCTGTTCCTCCCTTTCATATTTCTTTGCACATGTGGGAAAAAGTGGATCTGTCTGAGACTTTTTAGAGATGTCTTGGTTTCATTTTCATGCAGTATCTCCAGGGCAATTGAAAAGGGGACGTAAAGCAGAGAACAGAAAGCAAAGTGACTCTTTCCATTAGTGAGAGGGCTTCAAGGGGCTCTGCCATAAGCCTTCTTTAAGAGGCAACACTATCTGGAAAAGCAGTATTGATTGCAACAGAAGGAATTGTCTTTGAGTTGGGTTTTTTCTGGGTATTCATTCATTTTTTTGGGTAGCCTCTAAATCCAGCTGGCCTTGTAAGGGATAAGTAAAAGATGGGCTATTGTAAGCAGGAACAATGCTTGAGCTAGTGTCCCCTGTTAAAGAACAGGGAATAAAATGCCTATTACACTTACTGGGAAAGATATCAACCTTTCCATGCCAGCACTTTAATCTGGCTGGTGTGCAGAGTCTCAGTGCCAGCAGGCTCACATGCCCCAGAGAAAAGAACACCCTATCTCGCTGGAAGTGTTATTTCAAGGGTGTTTCTCAGGGAATCAAAGTACAAGCAACTTCTGCACATACAAAAGAGTATGGGCATAGGAGTGCAGAGAAATGCTCCCTGCTGTTTTACCGGAAGCCCTGGCAGAGTAAAACCCTGACTGCACCGTCACTGGCAGTGCTTTTTGCTTTGGTGGAGCCATGATTTCATCCAGAATTAACCCCTGAAGTTGACAAATATAGAAAGTAGGTGTTCCACATATAAAGTTGGTTAGGTGGCTTCCAGCAGCAGCGCAGGCTGACTGATCCCCAGGTTCATTCCAATATGCTCCGTGCTGTGCTTTGGGCAGGAACATGGAAATAGATTTAGGGTGCTGCGTAGAAATGACATAGACTGAGATTTACTCAGACACTGGTTGTTGAATCCTGATCTTTTATGTTCAGCCCTGTTCCATCTGAAAGCTATTGCTTTAATGCTTCGTTTCATTCCAGTGGGATTGCTCAGGAGAATGCACAGAAATTCAGAATCTCACAGAGATAATTCCATCCTCTCCCTTCCACATGTGACTCTATCCCAGAGACTCCTTCTGCAAGGAATTCTGCTGCATCCCTTCGTCTGACTTGGCTTTGGCCAAAAGCAGAGTAGGATCAAAGTCAGTCTCCTACACCTTTTATACTGGAATCTGAGGGTAGCTGTGGGGTCCATAACAGAACTTTGCAAGTCAGTTTTAGCCTCTGGAGCACATTTAAGCCTCTCTGGCTGCAGGGAATTGATACTTCATGAATATGATCAAGGGATCTCATGTACAGTATCATTTTATTTGAGAAATCTCCCCTCCGGGGATGCGTTGTCAAACATTTCCTTTGGTTTGTGTAAATAACAAAAGATAAGTCTGTTCTGCATCGGACTCCCAGTAAGAAAGAGAAACAGATTTTGGTTTACTGAGGGGTCTGCAGTACTTTGTTCTCATGACTACTATATAATGGGATTGAACATATTTTATGCCATCTGGCCTGTTCAGCCGAAACAAAATACATCAGTAATGTTCCGATTGGTTTTGAAACATCTTGTTCTTGTCAAAAAGTATTTTAAATCAAACCAGGCTTTACCACTTTGTGTTTGTCTTTTACTAGGAGGCCATGGCGAAAATGGGGAAAGTTGGGAGAGTTGTGCAGCCCAACCATGAGCATAAAAGGTAATCCTGACTTTTGTGGGGTCCTCTGTGAGGATTTATGGCGTGTGAAGTTAAGGCCTGTCTCTTTATAGCCCTGACTGAATGCAGTAGTAGTTATCACCCCCATTTTTGAAGGATTACCATGGAATCAGACTGGTTTGGGTTGGAAAGGACCTTAAAGCTCATCCAATTCCAACCCCTGCCACAGGCAGGGACACCTTCCACTAGAGCAGGCTGCTCCAAACCCTGTCCAACCTGGCCTTGAGCACTGCCAGGGATGGGGCAGCCACAGCTTCTCTGGGCACCCTGTGCCAGCACCTCAGCATCCTCACAGGGAAGAACTTCTGCCTAATGTCTCATTTCAATCTCTCCTTTGTCAGTTTAAACCCATTTCCCCTTGTCCTGTACCCATATGCCCTTGGGAAAGTCCTGCTCCAGATTCGTTATAGCCCCACAGATTACCACGCTTGCCCCCAGGTGAAGGCTGTAATTTGCTGTCAGTGGGCTCTGAGCTGCCCTAAGTCTCTGCCCGCGACGGCTTTCCTGAGCAAGCGAACTCCAACCCGCAACTGCAGGGATGCGAGGAGCTGTGCCGGGGCCGCGGGAGCTTTGAGCGGCTGAGACTGCGGGCCCCGCGGCACTTGGAGCTTCGCGCAGCTTCACCCCTGCCCCGCCGAGGGGCTGCAGAAGCCCTGGAGTACTGGGGTCCCGGTGCCCGGTGTCCGGGGCGCTGCGGGGCCGCTCCGCCCGCTGCTGCTCCCGACGGCGGCGCACGGCGGGGCGCGGGCACCCCCTGGCGGCGGCGGGCGGCCCCGGGGGGCGGACTCCGACAGCAATGGGTGCTCCGGAAACCGGGGACCGGGGGCTGAAGGATGCGGGCCGTGAGTCCCGGGGCTCTCCGGGCCGTGTAAACGGGCAGGAGAGCAGCGAGGTCGCACCGTGCCCATGCTCCCACAGCGAAGGGCTCTGGAGGTAAAAAGCGCCTGGAAATCAAAGCCTGCTGTGGGGTGAATGAAAGGTGTAATTATAACTCGCAGTCACCCGTTTGGGTGGGAGCTGCACTTTGGGAGGACGCTGATCCCAGTAAAAGTTGTAATTTTGAAGGAGTCAAAGCTGCTTTGATGCTACGCAATGGATGTAAATATGTATAATACAGGGGGTTTAAAACTTAAAACCTTGGGCTCTGTTGAAATTAACTTTCTGGTACAGATTTTACGACAAGAAATACGAAGTATTTTTGAGACTGGTGGAACATCAGAGAGAGTATCGGTCCATCATGAACAGCTTCTGATCTGGAGTCATGTAACCTGGGAACAGCAGGCAGAGCGAATCTCCAGCTATTTGTGATGAGGGTAATGTCTTCTCACTGTACCGTCCATGTAAAAAATACACTTTTATCATTTAAAGTGTACATTTTAACTTGGAATGAGAAATAAAATGCACTCACTGGCCGTGCGTGAAGCACTGGGTATTTTCTGTCAATAACCTCTGCACTTCAGGACAAGGAATGTTCATTTGCCCCAGTCAGAGGAGACCAGATAACCAGCTGCGGGTATGCCGGTGCTGTATTCAGACTGGCCACAAGCAGGAACAGCACAAGGAACACCATAACTGATTTGGATGGACTCAAATCGCTGCCCTTTGCCATGTTTTTCAGAGGTAACTACACCTGGCACCACACATGGTCCTTTTAATTTCACTGTCTGCTCCAGCTACGACCTGAACACGAATTCCATTGGAAAGTTCTGTTTGTTTTTGTAATTTTGACTCTGATTATAGTACTTCTTTGGCGGCTGATATTTGAGAATCACTTTTGCAGCTGTGCAGTCTTGTTCTCTCTGGGTTTTTTTTCAGTTTCCTGCTCTCTTTTTTTCTGTCTCCATTCTCACAGCACAGTCCTTTTGCTGTCAGTACTTGGTGCCATTTTGTCTTTTGCAGGTCCCTCACCCTTTGCATGCAGTGTTCGCTGTGCTGATGTCAAACGGCCCATTGCTGACACTGAAAGATGAGGTTAAGCAGACACAGTTGCTGAAAGTATGTTCCCAATGCAGGTGCATTCCTGCCATCGTGCCAGCTGCCTCGCAGGAGTCAGCCATGAAACAGCCCAGCTCTCCTTGTCCATCCTCAACACATTGCTTCAGCCAGACCCAGTCACCAGCTCTGAGCTGGACACAGAAAGTACAGGGAATGCAAAGGGAGAAAGGGGTTTCCTTCCTTTGATTTGCAGTTGTCAATGCTCAGACACCTTCCTGGCTGCCTGCTGGCCAAATCCAGTCAACAAAAAGGCTTTTACTTGTTCCCAGGTGCTTTTGAAGGTGGCCCTTCAGTTAACTGTTCTGTGGAAGGAGAGAGTCTGGATACTCTAGTTGTATACAGCAAAAATGTTTCACCTTTGACAGTATAAATTGTTTTGATCTTGCAAGAGCCAAACACGGCCAGTGCCATCAGTGAAACGCTCTCAGAAATTCTTTCTTTCTCTGCCATTTGTCTGTGTCCTGGGTTCAGCAGTAGCAGTCATTTTTCTCCTTCTTGGTAGCTGGTGCAGTGCTGTGTTTTGACTTTTGGCCTGGGAACAGAGCTGATAACAATGGTGTTTTGATTTGGCCGACTTTGTGAGCCTCATGCTCTGCCGGGGAGGAGGGGAAGCTGGGAGGAAGAAGAGACAGGATACCTGACCCAAACTGACCAAAGAGGTATTCCATACCACAGCACGTCATGCCCAGGAGGTAACTGGGAGTTACCTGGAAGGGCTGGTAGTCTGTGGGGTTGGAGGAGGTATCAGTCAGTGCTTGGTCGGGCTGGGGGGGCGAGTTATCGGTCGGCTGGTGCTGAGGTGTTGTATTCTCTTCCCTTGTTATTTCCTTTATCATTGTTATTATTGCTGGTAGCAGTAGTGGTTTGTGTTATACCTTAGTTACTAAACTGTTCTTATCTCAACCCATGGGAGTAGTATTCTTTTCGATTTTCCTCTCCATCCCTCCGGGAGTAGGGGGAGGGAAAGAAGGGGAGGTTAGTGAATGAACTGGCTGGCTGGGTTTAAGCCACGACAGTCTGTTACTTCTTAATAACAGATCCTATTCTGTTTGAAAAGCAAAGCCAGGATCCCCAGCTGAAGGAGAGGGTTAAGAAGCAAGGGGGGACAGAACAGAAGAGCATATTCAGATCAACTACAACTATACTATAGGTCACTCAGGAGAACCCTTCCTTTCTTCAAATTGCCACCCTCTTGATGAGCCTGCATTGTGCAAGAGAAACAACCTATGGTCTGTTTCCACGGAGTCAGTATTCCTGTAGATGGGCTCCAGCTTTATGCACTCAGCTTGATAGAAATTCCATTCTGTAGTATTGTCATAGGCTGTAATTCCCAGTTAAATGCAAACAGAAGTTACACAATAACAAAACTACACTTAGAGAACTTGGAAAATAATAGTTTCTGGGTTGCTTTTTTTATGTTAGTAGTCAGCACTCAAAAACATCTGGTAATTTTTTTAAAGAAACAATGCACTTCCTGCCTTGTAGTTCATGGAAAAGCAATTGTTGCCATTTCCAAAGTACCCATTGTTAAAAGAAACAGCTTTACAAGTTCAGGGACATAATTAAAGACAATGAAAGTTGATGGGAGTAAAATGAAGAAACATCATAACAAAAAGGATATAACAAGCAAGAAAACGACTACAACATAATGGTGTATCGTAGCTTACAAATCAAAGGCACAAGAAAACATGTCAGCTGAAAATACAGAGAAGGAACAAGCAGTTGGAGACCAGTGTATTGTGAACAATAAATATTTATAAATTTTAATGCATTTATTTTAATATACAATTCATACATAAAACAAAGTCCACTGACTCCAAACACATAGCAAATGTACAGATTGTACAGGGACAGATGAGTAGGGGGGTCTGGCACTGCGCCAACCTTTTTAACTCTGCAGCTCCAACACACACAGACATGCACACACACACCCCCCAACTTCAGCAACCTTTCCATAACCTTCCTCCTATTTATATCATAGAATCATCATCAAATCGGCCTTGACCTCTCTGGCTGAACTGGCACAAGACTTACAAGGCAATCACAAGGAGTGTATGAAGTCTAGAAAAGAAACAAGTTGTCATGCTGACGTTGTTGAAGCTCAGAGGCACAGAGTTCAAAAGGAAGCAATGTACCTTGCATAGGCTTATATGAAAAAGAGATTTGTTCACATTCCTTGCATGACTTTTCATGCTTTTCTCCCCTTGTAATACCTCTACTTCATAGGTGCATTTGTGTTGCAAGCCAGTGTTACTACCAGTTCCATATTATCCATTTTAAAATCAGGGCTATTCTCATTGCAGAGCTGTAAGAAATCTGTATTCCTGTGGATGTGTAATCACCTGTGATAACACAGAGCACTGATACAAGATTCTGTAGCGATACCATCTAACATTCCTTGTGTTACACAAGCCTTAGCAAATTACACAGTTTGCTAAATTCTCAAATTAAGATTTTATTCAAATGGAGCCAAGGTGTAAAATGTTAAAGCTCAAGAGTTCTAAAACTCTTCAACTGCAAGTTGTTTGGCATTGTTAATTTTAAGCTTTATTCATAGCTTTAGGCATTTTCAACTCAGGCACTTTGTATGAAGGTAAGTCAAAGAAAAATGTAGCATGAAAGAGTCCAGCAAGTATCCAGAGTAAAATTTGCTTTCTAAATGCTTGCACATTGAATCATTTGTCCATGCCAAGTATTGCTGAGTCCTGCTTCAGCCTTTGTCAGAGGCATAATGACAAATTATCATCTTCTGCCCCAAATAAAAGAGAAACCTGTCACTGCTTGGTGAACTTTGACCAAGGAATCCAAGTTTGAGTCAGTCAGGCTTCTGACAGCATGCTCTGAGCTGCAGACCTTGCCACACTCACCCCATTAGGTGCAATTTGCTGACATATGTTTATCATGCAAATTAAAAGAAGGGAAACAACCACCATGTCATCAGCGGTTCCAAGTGTCCTACAGAGAGGCCCAGGCTTCATGTCAAATGGGGAAGACAAGCATATGATAGTTCCAAAGGAGCAAACAGCAACTCGCAGGAAAAAAAGCCATACCAGAACACCCCAGGTGAAGATTCCTCGCAAGGCAAGAGTCAGGAATAAGTGCATGTCATAAAGGTAATCTGCAAACTAAATATTCAGATTAATTACATTAGTTTGCATTCTGATGCACGCAGGTCTTTCAGTTCAGTGTCTCTCTCAAGCACTTTTAAAGGTCTCTTGAACGCAGAAGCTTTCTGTGCTGTCCAAATTTCCCTATGCTGTTTGATTACTCTGCCCCATTTTTGAGAGGAATCCCCACTGCCCCCACCTTGAAAAGAAAGTATTGTGCTTGACACTGAATCCATTTGGAAACTGGGACCTAATGCCTGTGCTGAGTATATGCCTGTCTTTAAAATCTGGCATCAAGTGCAGGCTATGAGTGCTTGAAAATGAGGCCTCAAGTCTTGCCTTGGTGTGGGCAGGAACTATAGGACTGAGTGATTATTCCTCATTAATGCTAGTTTGTTGGGTTGAAAGATAATACTCCTATCCACAGCGCTTAGTTTAGTCTGTAGATTGAAACAGACTCCACAGCCCTTTCAGGCCCCGTGATCTTTCAGGAAGATTTGTTTTGATGATATTCTACACCCTCACTTGAGACTTCCACCCTCATCTTTCACTTCATTTCCACTGCCTGTCATATCTTGTACCAGCTGGGATTCCAGCTTTAAGAAAGTGCAGAGCCAGTGTGGATTATTTGAATTTGGAAATACCTTGGGGAAAAAAAAACAGCAGCTTTCTAAGCTGGAATCTGATTTGAAATTTTAGAGGCAAGTTAAAATCCTGGAGTTCAAATCTGAATTCATATTTGAAAGTTCCAGCCTGACCATCTCTAGTTCTGCTTTGCTTCCTGTATGTCACCCCACACTGCTTTCTCCCCTCTGCCACGATGACTGGGGGAGGACTCCTCTGAGCTAGGAACTCCAAGAAGCACCTTCACTAGAAGGTGCTGGACCCAGCAGTGGATGGTAACACTTCCACTATGGCATTGCCAGTATGTGCAAAAAAGGTAATTCACATAATGATATAAACTAGCTTTCATTGCTGGGTTTCTTTCAATCCTCTACGTATTATGCACTACTGACAACATAAATGTAGATTTATAAATACTTACAGGTCGAGGTTGCCCTGAGAAGCGCTTGTTGTAATCTCTAATGTCATGTACAATTTGTTTACTTGGCTTATCATGTTTCTTTTCACAAGAGATGCTATCCAGAAGAACCACCTTCATAAGAAAAAGATAAGCATTAGCACAGTGTATGTGAATATCCAGTATAAAGGACAGTGTTCTGTAGTGCTGGTCTCTCCAGAGTCAATTTCGCAACTGGATTTTTGTCCAGCTCTGTCAGTTCCACAATAGCAAGAACATTCTCCATTTACAGCCTGCATCCAACCTTCCAGTACAACAGGCAGCCTCTGACCAGGGTCACATGAGATTGGGAACTTCCATATTGCTTTTTCTGGTATGTTATCCCAGAGACTCAACAAAATATACAGAAGTAAAATGCTGGAAGTCTGTTTAATATTTCACAGAGTTGCCTGATGGGACCTGTGTCAAATGCAGGGTCACTGAAGTCTAAATGGGGTTTGAAATGCCATGGAAAATCAGAGAATAAATAAAGTTGATTTTAAGAGCTCAGGCTTGTCATTTTGTACATATCATAATGCAGATAGAGGTAAGTCTTACCTTTTGTCTGCAGAGAGGGCAGGTTATTGCTGCTAACCAGGGACTGTGTTTCCAGTAGGTGATCAGACAGGAACCTACCAACAAAAAGGAAATCAAGATACGTGAAATATATTTGAGGATCTGTAATGTTTACGGGAGACTATCAGAATTAATAAACCCTCTTTCTACAACTAATTGTGAAAATGACTGTAATTTTATTTTCATTTCATAATTAATTCATAACATTTAATTTCAATATGTGGTTTTACTCTGCAAAGTGGCTGTGTAAAAATGGAGCCTCAGCTCTTCCACACTGGTATATGCAGAGATACAGGGACATCCCAGGAAAAACTTTGATTCAGTTTTTTCTCCTGTGGATAGGGTCTTAATCTCAAAGCTCCCTGGACTGCAGTTTGGAGCACTCAGGAACATGGGTACCCTTCAGAGTGCAGTGGTGGGCAAAAGCAGTGCAGGTACGTAGAGACTGAGTTCCTCCAGAGCCATATGGTTTTTAATGGCTATGAAGGCCAGTTACCTCAAATAAGCAGCCAGGGCACAGCCTGGTCATGTAGCCTCCCTGTGGCACAAGAAGTCTGGAGAGGAACTTTTTACAAGGGCCTGTAGGGACATGCCAAGGGGAATGGCTTTAACCTGCCAGAGGGGAGACTGAGATGAGCTCTTAGGCAGAAGCTCTTCCCTGTGAGAGTGCTGAGGTGCTGGCACAGGGTGCCCAGAGAAGCTGTGGCTGCCCCATCCCTGGCAGTGTTCAAGGCCAGGTTGGACACAGGGGCTTGGAGCAAGCTGCTCTAGTGGAAGGGGTCCCTGCCTGTGGCAGGGGGTTGGAACTGGATGAACTTTAATGTCTCTTCCAACCCAAACCATTCTAGAATTCTATGATTCTATGATGATGCATCGTGGTGATGAAGTGCCATACATGGGGCTATTTTGTCTGTTTGTCCTCTCTTACCATATTTCAGCTCTGACCCTTCTGGAACTGTGTATCTTTGAAAAAGTGAGTTGCTCTATTCTTTTTGATTCCTCTAACCCAGACAACTGCTATTTTCCAGATATAACCTGCTGGGGTCTCAGGTGTGCAAAAGGGGCAGAGTCTGAGGACAGTGCGATTAGACTGCATATACAGCTGACAGCAGAGGTTGACATATGTGACTGGCACTAACAGCAAAAACAGCAAAGCATAAATAGCATCTAATCAGAAGCAGCTCAGCTTGACTTTTGGCTCCTGGGCACAGTGTGCAGTGTGACAGGTCAGGGAAAAAATCTCTCAGCATTGAAACTGATCAAATTTGACAAGGACCCCAGTGAGAACAGAAGCAGAACGCTGCACTGCCATTTTGATGGAATTGTTTTGCTGAATTGAACAATGCTCTTTGTTCTTCAGAATAACCATCTAGTAGTTTCTTGTACTCCACGTCCTAACAAGAAGTCTTTAGGAGCCCTCAGTGCAGGGCACTTGCCGGGCACTGCACCCGGACTTGCTTCATCTGTTGTCACTGAAAAGGAGAATGTTGGAGAAACCATTTTTGAAATCAAGTGTAAAACTGTTCATGCTGCCATCAGTTATATCTTCTGTACTAGGACTGAGGATGTTAGATTTGGCCCAAAGTTGTTTTTTATGAACCTTGCTCTGATTTGTGCTTTTAACTTTCATTTTCATCTGAGTGCAGGGCTTTTCTTTCTGACTCTTGTATTTTGTTTGCACACACAGAGCCACTGGCTGAGCCCATGGCTGTGTTTATAGCTAAATCCTGGTGTGGTATGTATAAATGCAGTCTGGCAGCAGCTTCCAGTTTTCACTCCACCATTGGCATTTGACAAGGATCACACCTGATTTCAGGAACCACTTTGACCTGCTGGGTCCAGATCCTGTATCATAATCCACAAGGCTGTAGTGCTGCACCTGTCTTCAGTCCCAGTGATAGCAGTGCTGACAGATCCCATAGTTCTTCAAGGGCTTTCAGAAAAGGCCCCCTGTGCCCTATGAATACAGGCTGAGAGTGCTGGGCTTGTTTTGCCTCCAGAAGAGAAGGCTTCCAGGAAACATTAACAGTCTTCCAGTATGTAAAGGAGGCCTACAAGAAATGTGGAGAGGGGCTTTTTACAAGGGCCTGTAGGGACAGGATAAGGGAAATGGCTTTAACTTGACAGAAGAGAGACTAAGATGGGCGCTTAGGCAGAAGTTCTTCCTTGTGAGGGTGCTGAGGCGCTGGCACAGGGTGCACAGAGAAGCTGTGGCTGCCCCATCCCTGGCAGTGTTCAAGGACAGGTTGGCTGGGGCTTGGAGCGACCTGGTCTGGTGTAAGGTGTCCCTGCCTGTGGTAGGGGGTTGGAACTGGATGAGCTTTAAGGTCACTTCCAACCCAAAACATTTTAAAGTTCTATGATTTTCTGAAAGTAAAATTTGCTGCATGCAGAATCCTTTGTTGAGTAGAACAGGAAGGGAAGGACTCCTCTGAAGCTGACCTATTTGTGCTTTGGTGCATTTTTCATAAACTAGACAAAATCCCGATTCAGTGTAGGCTGCTGCACGGCCTTGTGAGGGAGGCTGGAGGTTTCTCTAAAATACCTCTGTGGTTATTGTTAATTAGAAAAAAATAATATTGCTCAAGGATCACTTTTCAGTTGAACTTCCTGAACATATGGTTCAAACTGAAGCTGAAAAGGAAAACTTCAGGACAAACTGTATGAATTACTACTAATAATAAAATCAGACATTTTTTATAAGTCCACATTAATCTTGTTTAAAAGCTTTGGGTTGACCACATTTTTTAAATAAAACTTTTACCAGAGTGGAATTTATTAAGAGAGCTCAGCACTGCCTTAGCTCTGGTCCACAGGGCATCAAGAGAAGTTTTATTACTGACTTCAGTCACACCAGACTTAGATCTACACAGAATGGTTTTGATAAGCCCAATGTAAAGTTTTATTGGTTTAAGACATGAAAACCAGACATGTTACAGAGGCCGCTCCTACTATATAAACATAGTCCTAACATATAATGCAGTGCACTGGAGTTGATGCTTGAGAGCGTAAGTGATGGTGTACTTCAGGAAGTAAAGCCTGGCTAAGTATATACAGCTAACAATAACAATATATTCCAAGCTTGTATATGGCAATTCTCCTCTGTAGATCTCAAAATAAAATCAAAATCACGTCTGTATCATTTTGTCATACTCACAGATGGAAAAGGGAAAATTAACCAGGCCAGAAAAGAGGGAAGTTTATGATCTTTGTTGTTAATGTCTGTCTTTGTACTTGAAACTGTAACTACTGTGACATTATTTGAAACATGTTTTGAGGCCATATGCTTACTGTTTGTCTTGGAGTGAGTTACATTCAAAGCATCCTTTTCCTGTATGTTATAAAACAGTGTTATAAAAACATGAAACAACCTCAAGTATTAAATGGTGTCACTCATGAGGGAGATGAGCCCTACATAGTGTCCCTAGCTGTTGGTGATCCACTGATCTGTTGTGTTTTCAGAGGATGGAGAGAGTGGCAGGGGTGATGAGGAGATGGGCTGCATGAGAATCATTTCAATCTAGAGAAAAATGACACTTCCTAAAGATAAAAATGTGCTTTTATTGCACTAAGCACCAACAACACAGCCCCTTGTTTTCATTTATGCTGATGTCTTTTTATAACATTCTTATATGGTAAAAAAGTGTAGCTCGCTTGTAACTATAATTTGCCCTTGCTTTGGGTCTCTGTAGAATGCCAGAGCAGTAGAAACAAGCTTTATGATTCTGAGCAGTGTCTCCTGATGTATCTTGCTCTTGCAATATCAGACAGTACTGCCTCCAGCTGCCTGCCTCCCTTCTGCCAGACATTGCTGATGTTGTGCTTCGCAGTAGCCCTGAAAAACCTCATAGGGCAGCTTCAGCCTCATCAGATCATGGTGAACTCTATTTCTCTTCCCAGCCCTGCTGTGAGGATGAGGGCATATAGAAAGGAACCTGATTAAGCAGCTGGGGCAGGGAGGTTGTAAACTTCACCTGTAAGTTCACTGGACGATGTATCTCAGAGGTATGAGATGAACAGTGTTCACTCCAAGTGTGCTGGTGGCCTTATTCTGCTGCCTTTCAAAGCAGGAGCAAAGCTCACACTGGCTCTAGCAGTGCAGAATGTGAGCCTTAAAAATCCTGAAATCCCCTTTATAAATGCAATTATGAACATAACTCCCTCCAGTATTCCATGCTTCATCCTTGCTTTCCCTTTGAAAAATGATTTAAATTTTGTAATCCTAACCATATGGTTTAGCAGCCTCAAAGAAGGCATTTAGCAGACATTTAGCTAGAGAATTCTGGGTTTACTTAGATTATCCAGTGACTAGAGATGCACTGGGGAGAACAGGGGAGTGGGCAGCCTCAGCAGAAGGAATCTGTGAATTTGGATCTGTCTGTTTCCTGTTAAGCCAGATCCTGGGCTGCAATACCCAGTTACTGAGCATGCATCGTGATGAGACGTCTTTGTAACCCACATTTACATAATGTGGTCATAAGATTTTAAAATTTACTCAAAAATCAATAAAAAAGTTAGAAGTTGTTTTATACATGACTAGAAACTCACTTTTTGAATTGTTTAATATGTAACTTCCACTATTTTTTATTATGTTTAGAAAGCTTTTACAGGACCACAAGCCAATGTAATGATGCCACATTGCTCTAGACCATTTCTTTATTTTACACAATTGTTTCTCAAGGGAAGCAAGTCTGGAACAGAATCAGACCTAAGCCTAGCACGTCAATTTTCACCAGTAAACACAATCAGAATTAATTTTATGGGCTAGCTGGATTTTTAGGCTGTTGATTAAAAAGACAAGCTGTCTTCCCAGAAGTGAGTTCATGCTTGGAGGTAAGACTTCGTGTTTGTTACATCTCGACCTATCTATCTCAGTTACACAGTGTGTGATTATTAGACTGTTGAGTTTTATAACTGTGGTGTCTTTTCTTTGTTTGTTTGGGGTTTTTGCACAGCTGAATACAAATTGTGTGATTTTGTGGTGTGTTTTACCCATTCCATGAGTTTGTGTTGTAATTTAACAGTATCCTGTGAGATAGATAACCTATACTTTACTGTGAGGGTGGTGAGGCACTGGAACAGGTTGTGCAAAGAAGTGGTGAATGCTCCATCCCTGGCAGTGTTCAAGGCCAGGATGGATGGGGCCTTGGATAACATGGTCTAGTGTGAGTTGTCCCTGTCCATGGCAGGGGGGTGGAACTGGATGACCTTAAGGTTCTTTCCAACCCAAACCATTCTGTGATTCTATGTAAAAACGGGACTTCTCCTGCTTCTAGTGACAGCACTTACATTATTAGTTCCAGGGAGAATGGCTTGGTCCTGGTTCTTAGTAGGACATGAGATTCCTGTAAGAACTGCTTTATTTTGTAGCCTGGTTGAGCACTGCACCATCAGTCCAGGAAACTTACCACAGAATAAATGTCCACAGTTGGTTTCTACTGGGAGAGTAGCTGTCTGGAGACAGATGGGGCAGCTGAAGTCACTGTGATTACAAGATTGCCAAATTTGGAGGGATTCCTGGAAAAGAAGTAGTACAGAATCTTCAGTAAATTAGTATTTTGATTGACATATTCAGTTCATTAATAGTAATTTGCTATGATTAGCAGAGAGTCACAGAAACTAAGTATAGATTTCATGCATAAGTGAGCATTACCATTTTTCTTCCTCCTTTGCACTTATGTCTATCACTTAAATGTACTGAAAGAAAGTTCAGTGTGTTCCCTGCCTTCCTTGGGTGGCAGAATGATATTCTTAGTGCATACCATAGGCTACTCAGCAAAAAGACTCCTGAAGTAAAGAAATTACTTCCAATCAATCCCTTTTGTTTGCTTAGCTAAGTCTATAATTAGGAATAGTATTGAGCTTTGTTTTTAGAGAGGGAAGGTGAGAATTCTGTAAGTCTGAGAAATGATGAAATGGCATTTTGAGATCCAAAGTGTATGATCATATATCTGAAGGGAAAAGCTGAAGTATGTATGTTGGTCTTCCAGTCTTTGCTCCTAGTTCATTGCCTGTAAGCAGTAAAAGCCTGTTTGGCAATATGTTCGTCTTTGCCAGGATTGTTTGATATAATGAGAGGTAAAACAGCTGTTCTTACTTGACACTGATTCCTTACCACATTGGAGTTTTTTTGCTGCCTTTATTATGATGCATTAGCCAGTCTGTAATGGCTGACAGACCTGCCCACTCCATCTTAGCACACCACAGACACACTTAAATTTGACTGTATGTTCAATTGCCATAACCACAATGAGATCAGTCTTTAAAGAAAATGTAGTACAGTATGGTTAATGTCCTTTCTTTCTTGAAATAAAGTGATTTCAATGTTTCTATCAATCCCAGAAGCAGAGAGAGCAACTTATGAAGTTGGGAGAGAGCTTCCAAATAAGTTCCTTGCCTTTAGGGTAGAGTCTTGAAGGTTATTGAAGGTTCTCCACTGCCTACACATGGTTAGCAAGGTTCAAAAGGAGATGGGATCAATTACAGTTATGTTTTGTATGGTGATCAAACAATGATGACGTTCACATGGTCTTAATGTGGTCTTAATGACCACAGAGGTCCAGCACTATATGGAATGGGTATTATTTTTCCATTACTGAAGTAAGGCATTCAGATGAGGAGATGGCATACTTACAGATTATGGTATTGCTGTATACATGCTGTCCCTTGTTGCCCAATTTGGCCTGCTTATTTGTTTTCCAAATACCTGGTTGGCACTTGCCTATATGACAGATCAATGAGTGCACTTCCAGGTATCTGACCTATTTATAGAAGTTTTTATAAATAGAAAACTGAATAGAATCTGTATTTTGCATGTAATAATTCCAAGAAAGAAGAGAGGGGTCATCATGTCGGTCTGCCAAATGAGTGTTCAGGAACCCAGATCTCTTGCCAGAGCCATGCCTAAAACTGTGAGTTAAAATTAGCAATTTTAAATCAGCACCTTTAATACCAGTCTTTCCTTCCTGTAATGAGGATCTGTAAATAAGGACTGAAGGTTCCCAAACAATGTGCCACAACTACTGGAAAAAGTCTTTCTCCTTTACTGTTTGTTAAGGTATGAATGTATTTGTTTCTGATTCTCAACATAAATATTTCAGATGCTGAAGAAAACTGCATTGTTTTCAGATTTTTCCCTCTATGCACTGATAAGATTATCTCCTGCTGAGAAACCAACCCCACACTAGCCCAGTAAAGCTGCAATGACTAAGAATAACTACAACACAGCAATGATCGGATGCAAGTCCAGTACACTGACAGGTGAAGTCCAGGCAAGCATGTTTTAACACAATGCTCCCTAAAATTCATATGGCACACCATATGCCTATATTTTGACTTCCCATGCAGTACTGATGGTGTATTTGCAGGTTCAGAAGAGCATTATTTCAACTCATGCAAGCTGTAATAGTTCTCGTCAGCTGAGGAACTGCCCCAGATCAGTTGTGTTTATAAACACTGCATCCATGACATAAGCTGATTAGGTATCTCCTCTTCATTTTTGCAAAGTAATAACACATTTCTTTAGCTTTGTCTCATACATGAAACGGAACTGAATGTGTTTCTGATTATGCAATAGATAGGGAGTCAAGGGAAACCCAGCATTCCCAGACCATAACTGATGGAAACTTTGAGAAGCTCTTTTGCCCTTTGCAACCTCAAGAAGTTGAAACCACTCATGTATTTTGTATTAGAATGTGTTGTACAATAATTAACTTACTATATGGCTCCTAGGGGACAAATGATTAGTCGTTTGTTTCCAGATGACTCATCTTCTGCTGACTTACAAAAGCAAGTCTGCAGAAACAGAGTTTGTGCTGTTCTGAAACTGGGAAAACTGAATGTTGCTGAACCCAGGACACCATCTGATAGCAGTTCTGGCTGCTGAGGTAAGCTACCACATGAAGCATCAGCTGGGTGCGGGTTCCTGTTGAGACCTTGAAAATGCTCAAGCTCTGAGAGTTAGGACTATGAATTAGAGCAAAGAACCAGGAAATGATCCTGTATTGACAGCACAGAACTAGGCAGTTCTTTACACATACAGTTAAGCAGTGAACGTTCTTAGGGATGCTAGAAATTTCTGAGTTCAAGAGGTACAGGGTATCAAATACTATTAAATGCAAAGGTAATAGCTCTGACTGAGGAAGTTCCTGAAGCATCAGTTGCTAAAGAATGAAAGAGTATTCTGCAGAAGCATCATTCATGTTTCTTTATTCTTCTGTAGGCATCCATTGCTGCAGAGCAGGCAAGCTGGCTTTTGAGTGACATGGTATAGCCATTCTTACATTAATAGAGCATTTGGGGGAAAAAGATGCTTGGGGTCACTTTCAGCAGAGATATGAGTGGCTTAGTCTTGTCCTGAGTAGATAGGCTAGGAAAAACATGCCAAATTTTTCATTTATTTCTAATAGCTTATGTGCACATAATAAAATCTCTGATTTATTGAGTCCAAGCACTCAAACTGGTGTTCAAGCTGGCTGTAGCCTGGTTTCCAGGGGACCACCCAGCTGGATCTGATAGAAACAGAAGACAGATGATATCTGACATAGCTTTAAGTCTGCCAGAATTAATTTACCCCTTCCAAAATCTTGAGCCAGCCTTTGAACATTTGAACTAGCAGATTGAATTAGAGATTGAAGTAGTGATCATGGCAGTTAGTATTTTGTGTCATAAGGCTTTGAGTTTTAGATGGCATTAAAGAGTCTTAACAAAATGAAGTATTTAGGGTGACTTTGCCTAAACCAACAGATTTTTAAGGAGCTTCCTTTCATATGGTAGTTTTACATGTAATTACAAACAGCACAATTAAAATTGTCATTCCTGGTAACATTAGGCAGAAGCTCTTCCCTGTGAGGGTGCTGAGGTGCTGGCACAGGGCGCCCAGAGAAGCTGTGGCTGCCCCATCCCTGGCAGTGTTCAAGGCCAGGTTGGATGGGGCTTGGAGCAACCTGCTCTAGTGGAAGATGTCCCTGCCTGTGGCAGGGGTTTGGAACTGGATAAGCTTTAAGGTCCCTTCTAACACAAACTGTTCTATGGTTCCATGGTTTTAGGCCAGAAACTTTGAGAGTGCCCATAAGAACTATTATTTCATAATAGGATACTGATACTGTAAAGCAGCTTTGATGAATCAAAAGGGGACAATGGAAGTAGGTTTCTAGGGAGCATATGGAAATCAGGCTTCTCTGCCAGAAACATCTCTGCTATGGGAGAAATGGGGTGAACTTGCACCACTTGTCACCAGAAGCATCATGTTTTAGTAACATGATTAGCTGCAAATTAGGGCATGCCACAAATCTAGCACAGTAGATCAAGTATGAAGTTCCTTCAGGATTCATGCTGGTCTCACTGGTGAGGTCTGAAATGAGTCTGTTCACAAGTCTGTGAGACAGAGGGAAGCTGAAGAATTCCTCATACTTCACAACCACAGAACTCCCATTGTATTATCTTAAGATACTCAAGTCAAGATTTTCCATACAATTTTCTTAATATCATTTTTAACACCTAATGTTAGTCTAAGATTTATCCTATATGGATGCTGGAGAGGGACTCTTCATTAGGGACTGCAGTGATAGGACAAGCAGTAACAGGTTAAAACTTAAACGGGAAGTTTAGATTGGATATAAGGAGGAAATTCTTTACTGTGAGGGTGGTGAGGCACTGGAATGGGTTGCCCAGGGAAGTTGTGAATGCTCCGTTTCTGGCGGTGTTCAAGGCTATGTTGGACAGAGCCTTGGGTGACATGGCTTAATGTGAGGTGTCCCTACCCATGCCAGGGGGGTTGGAACTAGATGATCTTAAGGTCCTTTCCAACCCTAATTATTCTATGATTCTATGATTTATCTTTAAAAACCCTAAAATACTGGTGTTTCTAATCCAAATATTATCATAGACTCATATTCTTGGAATCATGCCACAGCCAGAATGGGATGGTACAGTGTATAGTCCAGTAGAAGTCAATCTACTTCATTTGGAGGAAGCAAAAAAAAAACAACAACCAAAACCAATCAAAACCAAACCCCACTGTTCAGGAGTAAATTATTCTGACAAACACGCTTCAAATGCAAAGATCTAGAGAAAGCCTTAAATTCTGCCACCTCAAATTTTAAGTAAGAACTGCCACAATACCTATCTTTTGGGTATCTCCCTACCATGAATTCCCTAGTGCAGAGTTAGACTCCTGAGCACCTTATACAGCAAAGAGAGAAACTGAGATATGTGAGAACTGTCCCTAAATCACCCAGCCAATTACTAGAGACACCTCCCAGGAGCCAGCGCTAATATGGCCTATATCCCAGCTCTCACCAGTTGCAAGGTGGTGAGCAATACCACGGTGTTGTAAAGCTGATGGCCGCATCTTCTCACGTGCACACGAGTATTCTTTGAAAGAACTGGGCAGGGCTTAGCATTTTCAAGAGTGGAACTGGTCACCTTTAAATAATACTTAGTGCTGAAAGCCTGAGAATTCCATAGGGAATGCTGGTGTAGTGCTTTTACTGACCAAAGAGATTCAGCCTCCATGTCTGATATGGACACCACTGGCAGTTTTCACCAGACCATGCACCTAAATTAGATAATGGACATAAAGTGACTCTGTGTAAAAAGTAGTGAGGGAAAATGACTCCTCTACTTTCACAAACTAGCAAGATGATAGTAAGTTGAATGTACTGCGACACACATGCTTCTGTATGATAGAAACAGGTTTTGACAACTTACATTAAGATTACAAGGGTTGCAATGGATGATGATGTACAGCTTCATGTCATATTTTATATTTGCTGGTTGGCAGTGACCATGGGAAGTTTACATGTTTATTTTTAAACTCAGTTTTAAGATCAAAAATCAGGTCCTTATGCTTACATCCCTTCCTCAGTAAGCACCACAGCTTTTGGGGTCAGATGTGCCAAAGAATTCTCCATGTAGGTACCTCATCAGAGGCCAGGCTTTGGAGCTGTTCAAACCTAGAAGTTCCCTGTGTGACAGTCAGACTTTTGAGAAAAAGGAGATCTTTTCCAATCTGGATACATCTTTTGGCTTAAAATGAAAGCTGAGCATTTCAGAAAATAATTCTAGTGGAACTCCGCAAAATCAAGCCTATTCTATTAAAGCACAGCCATTACATTTGATACATTTTTAATACTTGCATGCAAAAGAAAGGTGTGAAGTAGTGATCAGATTGTTGATTATGAAGCCAGAAGCTGCTGGGTATAAACCCTTTTCTCTCTGGCTCAGCCCAGCTCACAACATCTTTCAGTTGTACCTCAAGGAAGTTTAGTTTTAGAGCATCAGTGATGAGTCCATTCTCATCAACATGTTTCAAGAGAAGGAATTAAGAGTTTAAAAAGCACTTGGCAGATTCAAGTGCTAACAAACAAGTTAGTATGTTTTTCCATGAGCATGTGCTATTGTTTAGAAGTAAAATAGATCTTGCTTTGAGGATTAAATTTGTTAGGAAGGCATGATACTGTGTGACCTCATGGTCAGATTTCTTTGATAAGTGAGCAGCTGCTCCCAGTCTCACATGCAAAACAAATTCAGATGATCAGGGAGGATACACTGGACAGCTCATTATCTGACATATTTGATATTTAACTAATCACAAGAGAAAGAAAAATTTGATGTACCTGAAAGGGAAGAATTGTTTCATGTAATTTTTCCAAAAGTAATCTAATGATTGAAAGTATAAATTTTCTATTTATGGTAATACTAAAGAACACTTCCTACCGTGGTTCAGAAGACCTGCATAAAGTTGGGCTTACCATTCCTCTTTCCAGAAATGCTTGAGAGGTGCTGAGTAAGTTACATCAGCTGACAGTGTTGGGGTGGAATCATTCAGTAAGGCCAGCTATGCATCTTTGTCAATTATTAACTTGGTTGCCCAATGGCAAGGGTATGACAGGTCTTCTAAATCATGGTTATGAAAGAAATGATGGGTTTTCTATTTCCTCCTAGAATAAAGCAAATCTGCCTCAAAATGGAGAGGAGTCCTGAGGAAAACAACCAACAGCTCTCCCTTTCTAAGCCATCTAAAGTCTTCTCCTTCCCAAAGATGTTTAAAGTAACTGAAAAGATACCTGAGCCTAATAAAAAAAATGCATTACTATTTTTAAATATTAACTTGATCAAGGGCACACTACAGGTATTCTGATCATCTGAGAGAGTAGCAGCTTATCAGTGCTGTTGTGAAACAGGCTTAAAACTTGCCAGACACTTGTGATCCTTTGGAATTGCATAACTGCAGAATCAGATAGTGTCCATCTATTGAGTAAAGTGAAGAATTTAAGCAGAAAGTCTAACATGCTAAAATAATTTTAACTGAGGGGCATATATACTTCATAGGGTACTTATTCTTTGTGATGCTTTATGGTCCTTAAGAAAGGCTTGTTTTCTGTAAAGATATTCTCCAATTTAATGCAGCAAAATTAGTAAGGAAACCTGTTCAGGTTTTGTGCAGTGTTAACCACCCTGATCCTGACTGAACAAGGCACTGAAGCTCATGCCTGATTTTCAGCCCTCAGGTAACACATAACCTCTTATGAAGGGGTGAAATGGGAGTCAGTAATACTGGAATAGAAATACACTTACAGAACAAAAATAATGCCCCTGGCGTTCCTGCTGAAGCGCTGATAAGTTAAACAAAGCACTTTTCAAAGCCTAATAACCGGATGGGATTTGTAGCATAAACAAGGCTCCTTGTTAGTCACCAGTCCCCAGGGCATCTTCCTCACTTTGTTACAGATAAATTGGCAACAAATGAAATAGTGTGTGTGATTTCCTGCCCTGGGTATGCATGCATGCTCGCATGCCAGTGTGATAGCTGTCATTTATTATTTATCCAAATATGTATACAAATCTACAGTGTGATTTAATTACTTATTGAAGGTGCCAGACTGACAGATGCAGAAGCTGGAGCCGTTCCGTTATCCGGAGAACTGACACAGTGGAAGGAAGCAGTAGCATCCTCTCCAGGCTGTTCTAATACAACACTTCACCCTGATGGACTCCCTAAATATGTGAGCATAGCTCCTGTTCTCCAGCGTTTTCCTAGCTACTCTGCTCAACATGTTAAATTCATAAAGGCTGCTAACACAGATGTCAATTTTTCCTGTGATTTTTAGACAGTAATGTTTCTACACTGGAAAATGGGTTTGAACACATTCAATCTATTTGAGTGAGGCCATCAAGCATTTGATTAGTACTAAAAAAAGGATGTGAATGGTTTTAATACAGAGGCAAAACCCTTCAAACTAAATAATAGCAGAAAGATTACAGACATTTTGTAAAGGTGAAATGACCCAGATTCCTTTTACTTGCTAGGGGCTGCAGGTGTAGTGCTGTGGCTCTTTTGCAGTCACTTTCCTACCAGACATGATAATCTTGGAAACTGGCTGCTAAATTCTGCACTGTTTCAATAAGCAGGATTTTGGTTCCATTTTTTATGTCCCTCTAAACCTATTATTGCTTGGTTACCACTAGAGTTCAAAGCACTTCCCCCAGCCCCCAGGCACAGCAAGATGCAGGGCAGCAAGGAATCTGCGCTCTTCTTGCACTTTCATCAGCATCCAGTCTTTAACTGGGAACCTGAGATATTATTAGGCTTGACTCATTGAATTTGACCATACCTGTTTGAGAAAGACTGTTAAATAATAGCAAGGTTCCCTTCACATATCTCCAGAATATTTTGAGAAAGATAACAGACAGAAGAAAATCTCCTAAAAATCTATGAATCTATACGTAAAATCATTAAAAACATGACTGTCTAAGGCCTGACATTCCTACTGACCTTTTTTGGTCTCAGTTCATGCTGAAAGTTGCAATCCTGGATCCATTTTGTCCAACTGTAGGTTGGGCTTTTTGGGTGCTAGGTCTTTTATTGAGGCCTTAAAGCACAACTACAGTGTAAATAATAATGTTTACTGATAATAAGTGTGTAATTTTGGCTTTGGAGTTGAAGCTGGTGAATACTTATTTGTGCTTGAGTTATTTTGCATAGTTGAATAGTCCCATCAAAGCCAACAGGTCTGCTCCTGCCAACCACTTGTATTATTGCATTATTATTTCCCAGTTTTACAAATCAGGGTTCTTATTCTACTCCACAAAATCCTACCTAACCAAAAATTGGGGTTGAGAAGTATAAAGATGAGGTTGAGAAGTACGAAGATGCAAAATCACATTTCCTGGCAATGTTCTGGAATACAGCCTCTCTAATGGCATCTGACACAAACCAGGGGTTTTTAACTGAGATGGAGGTTTGCAGTATGCACTCTCAGTGTGTCCCAGCTGTGACCTAATTCCATCCTGGGATGTAAGAGTGCTGGCTGCTGGATACATAGGCAGACTTCCCAGTGTTCTGCTGAAATAAAGAGCTAAGCGATCAGAACTGCTGTGAACCTGGTTCCTATGCAAAAGCAAAACATGTCAGCCCAGCTGTCAGTGAAAAGCATCAGGAAAGCAAGAGAGAAATCTCTCTAAATGGAAACATAAGCTGAACGGTTAGTGGAAACAGGCGATTGTAACTTTTACCTCCAAAAACGATCTGAGTGCAAAATGTACTTTTGTTAGAAATACATATAAAAATAATTGTAACCTCCCTGTCACTGCCTTAAAAAGAGGCTCCACCTGCCTGCTGCAGGAGTTGGCTTTCACTCTTTGGAATATGCTGTATCAAGAGAACCTTAAAATATGGAGGGGGGAGAATAAAATTCAGACAAACTGCAGTTTATTTTCAAAGAAAAGAAAAAGGGAAAATGACATTGATATAAAAATAATGGGAAATCTGAACTCAGTTTTGCATGCTAACTTCCTTATTTAATACATAAATGTTGTGGCGAGTATCAGGATAATTCTTCTTATGCTCTCCATACCTTCAGCTTGCCTACTCTGTTTAGCTATGGTGGGGTTTTAGACATTTCTGTGTTATTTAATAGCAAGTGATAGCTCTGACATTTTCACCTATGTTTCTATTTCTGAACATAAGACTTTTCTTCAGCTAGAGAATACTATTTAAGTCCTCCATTTAATAGAATCATAGAATCAACGAGGTTGGTAACATGTCTTCTACGAATTTTTCACACTAACTTACAGATGTTGAGAAAAAAAATGGAAATCAAGTTTGGATTTCCCTGATCCTGAATAAAAACCCCATGCTCATGAGCTTACTCAAGAAGTAAGCCCAAACTGTGGTGAAAACTGGAGATGCTTGGTGTTCGGTATTAAATAAGGAAATTTTCAGGATCTGAATCTACAAGCCAAATGGTCTTCTTGGGACACAAAACCATGTGCCAAACCAGTGCCTTAGTGGTCAGAACTGTCTGTTCAACACTCTTCTGGAAACAGGATTTGAAAGTGTGTGTTTGTGGCAACTCCACCTCTGTCACAGTTCATACTACTGAATTTTTTGTTATGGGCACCAACTGAAATTGTATCTGAGAAATTTAATACATGTGAACTTGTAAAGCCAGGAGCTGCTACCATGAGAGAGCAAACAGATCTGTTATGTCAATTCATGTCAGCTAGCTAATAGTGGAATTGCCAAAGCCCACTATCACTTGTGACCTTGTTTGCTGAAAAAAGGATGAGTACTAAAATAGAAGGGCAGAGATCTGCGAGAAAGTAAACAAAAAGCCAGAAATAGAAAAGCACAGATAGGAAATTGATACTGTTAGGGAAACAACCGAGGCAGTGAGAGAGCATGTGAGGAGGGAAGGTTGCAGTGACAAAGTGGGGTCTGGTTGCGACAAAAATGGTGTCGTAGAGGTGTAAATATTTTACCCCGCTTGAGTTGCTGTGCATAAAAGTTCCTGGTTCTGAGATGTTTTCCTGAGATAATCGAGGAAGATCATTCCTTAAAGATGTTAATCATTCATCTCCTGCTGTATGAAGAAAGTAGAGTTACAAAGATCTGGCCATAGTCTATTTTGTAAGTGTGGGTGGGTGGCTTCCCGCTTCTGATCTGCTTTGTTTCCAGTATAGCTTGTTACGGAATTTAATGAGATATCACAACTTTTAACTCTGTGACATTATTTCCATCTTTTCTCTATCCTCCTTCTCCTCCTCCTCTCCATCCCCAATGGGAATTGCATTATACTAAAGCAAAGATAACCCATCATTCTCACATTCATCTCCTAGTTCTTTAAAAAGTGAACAGGTAGGGTAGTCCTCATGTAGACTATCTTGTCTTTTCCCTTTTCACAGTGCAAAGTGAATTTCCTTTTCCCAGGAGAATTTAGAGACAGTGGCCTGGTCAGAAAAACTCACATATATAATTTAAAAAGAATCCACATCTCTACAGAGCCTGTGACTCTTCAGAGTACAAAGCTCCTTTCCCCTTCTTTCTGTAAGAAAAGATCCCACAAGGGCTTTTTTTTTTTATTTGCCTTAGACACAAGATTAACAGGAATCGTATTGCAATTTAGTGTTCTCTGTGATAAAATGGGATTTGCAGAGCTCATGTTAGTAATATTGTTAAAGTAACAATTTTATCAATGCCTAACTCACTGGCATATGATAAACCTTAACTAATATTTGTAAAAGTACTTGCTATTTTTTTCTGAAACTATTATAATATACTAAATATTATTATTCTGTGAAACAGGTGTAGATGCCTTTGTGTTCTATATACACACTTGCCAGTCCAAGCCATCATAGTTTTAATGACTATTTCTTACCATCATTAAGTCTCTGGGGATGAAAGAAAATGTTCCTTGAGTTAAGATGTGCTAAGAAAAGCATACAGGAGAGCATAAATGGCTCAGGAATTCCAGGAATCCCACTGGCTTAAACAATCCCTTATTAAAAGCAAGTGTTCTCATAGTTGAATGAGTTCCAGAAAGGGCCTCAAGTGATGAAAGTATTTCTATCTAATGTGAAAATACGTGAAAGATGCTTATTCCATGTGAAAATATTTTTACCTTTCAGAAAAGCCTGAATACAAGACTCCTTCAATGAATACACTCTCATACAAATTATTAGTTTTTGGAATTAATATACAAAATATATAGAATTCGTACTATTTTGATAGTGAATAGATTATAATGACTTTCATCTCCTATAACAGCCAGACAAAATATTTCAAGAGGATTTTATAAAATCGATACTTCAGTTACATAGTGGAAAATTCTACATTCATCACCATGACATTGCTCCCATTTCTCACAGAGTATCATTGACCTGGAAAGTCCATAGAGCATCTTCAGAGAAAAAGCAATGGGATCTCCTTCAAACACATCACAGCACAGTAGTCAGTCCTATTGGCTCATTGTGCAATATAAATATGCCCTACATACCCTGTACCTTCCTACTCCCCTCACCTAAAACACCAATATTGGTATCTCCTGCCCTCACCAAAAATCATACAAGAGCCTGGATGAAAAACACTCTGAAACAGTCAGCTACCCCCAGTAGTATTTCAGCCATCGGGACTGTCTCT